ACGGCTTTCCTGGCAATGGACATTCATATTACCTCCAAGAACCCCAGCACCATCAAAAACTACCCTGCAAAGACTACTTTCACTAACATCTCCTTCTGGACTGATAGGATGGGGATATTTAATGTAGGAATTGCAATACCGTCTTCCAGAATGGTAGTACCAACCTACATTCCTAAGGTTCTGTAAAACCTTAACTGGCATTATCCAGCTTTCTTATTTTTGCAAAACTGGTACAAGGTAACATCTTACTATTGCTTTCATTTGTACTTCTCTGATTACTAAATCCATTTGATCATCTCTTCATATCTGTATTTGGTTTTGAGATCTTCTTTTCCTTTGCCAGTTTTCTGTTAGGATTGTTATCTACATGTTGCTATATGTCAGTTAATAATCTCTTGAGAGTTTTAAATGTTATTCCAACTATTATGTGTACCCAGTTTTTTGTGGGTTTTTTTATTGTAAAGCAGAAACATTTCAGAATTATTCTTCAGTAATAGCAAATTTTGCTCATAACAGTAAACATTGGTAACATTTATCAAGCATTTAGAATGTGCCAGGTACTGAGCTAAGCATATTATATATAATTCTATTGCTATTACTTCCATTTTATATGTGGGAAACTAAGTAGACCAATGTTTGAGGTAAGTAGTAGAGTCAGGATTCACACTTGGGCTCTCGGGAACAGAGTTATTAGCTAACTGACTGTCTCTTACCTCAGGCAATCTGAATGAACTATGAAAAGGACCCTTGCCCAAAGGTATCATCTTTGTCTCCACCACTTCTTGACACCAACCTGTCTGTAATTCTCACGACTTAACAGTAATTTCTTCAAGGAAAATAATTATAATATACAAAAATTCCCTTAACTAAAAAATATTAACTCTTGGATACAATAATATATTAAAGGATTAACATATTAGCTGAATTAACTTATTACATTTTACAAGACATGTCCACCCACGTTACGCAAAAGGTACATAACAGATGTTTCAGGAGATCTGAGGCAGGTGAACAAAATGGGTTCCTCTATTTAATCTCTTTTTCTCCCATTCCTCCAAGGTCAAAGGCTTTTTGCTGTTTTTTTCTCTTCTTGAATTTCTTGACTATTCAGGAGAGTTGTGTCAACAATTGAAAAATGAATATGTGGTTGATTTTTATCACGGTATTCATAAAGATAGGGACTTATGGTGATTCCTTAAAATCTGATTTGTCTTAGGCAATGATGGAGAAGACAGAGTGCTAGAAAATGCGTCTTTAAAAAATTAAAAAAAAACAAACAGCCATACTTTCTAAATGTAGAAAGAAGATGGAGTTTGACAAATGACTCATTCTGCTTTTATTTATTATTAGAATCATTGTGCTCTGGGTACATCAGGCAATTGATGAAATCTCCTTTATGAGCATAAGTAAAAATGAAAGGAAAAATAAGAAAACCAAAAACATGGGTTAAGACCTGAGTTGTGTCAGATAACTGTTGTGCATGAGGCAAGGAACAAACTGATAACAAACTGGTGTAAAAATTTAGTAAGCACTTCCTGGGAAGCTCATGTATACACGGAGTAGACTATGCAGAAGCCAGAGAAAAAGACACTCTATTGCTTTGCATAACTTTCTATAACCATAGGAAAAACAATTCCTGCTAAAAATGTGTAATTAACTGTTAATATTCAATCCTTCACTTTTGAGCAATTTTTACCATTTTGAGAAGCTCCTTGTCAAAATCAGCAAAAATAATGACAGCTAAATCCTATAGTAAAATCCCTGCAAATATTGCTTCTGTTCCTTTTTCTCTCTCTTCCATTCCTGCAACTCCAGTTATAGGTTTGACAAACTTCTCTCCTTTGCATCTTTTATATTCTTTTCTTTACTTTCCCTCCTGTTTTCTTTGTGCTTCAGCCTGGATGTTTCGTATCACCCTATCTTCCAGGTCTTTAATGATCTATATAACTGTATCAAACCTTACTTATAAGTAAGTTACTGATAAACCCATGTATTGTGTTCTTAATTTCAGGTATTGTATTTTGAAGTTCTAGAATTCTAGATTCTTTTACAGAGACTCCAAATTTCCCTTAAAATAGTTCATATTATCAGCCAAAGTCACAGTCATTTTGAAGTCTAGATTTGAGAATTTGATCATAGGAATTCTCTGAGACTGTTTCAAGTGTGTGGTTTTTTCTCGGTTTCTCTGGTTTCAGTTCTCTCATCAGATCTCCTGATATGCTTGGTAATTTGCTAGAAACTGTATATGAAATATTTGAGAGACAGTCTGAGGCTGTGAATCATGTTATGTTTCTTAAGAGGAAATAAGCAATACTAGTAGTAGCACGGGTTAATTTAATTCAGTTAGGGTTGGTATGATTAAAAGTGGGATGGTATTTGCAAGGGCTGTGCTATATCTGGTTTGCCTTTACCCCTAAGCTATAACCCATTCAGGAGAGCAACTGAACATCTGGTTAACCTGGAGTGGTTAACCAGGCCCACTCCACTTTGGTTTGCCATGAATTCCAACTGGTGTCTCTCCAGTGCTACTGAAAGCACTATTCAGCTTTTCAGCTAGAGTTTTCTCTTTCACTTCTTCCTACCCTTGCACCATTTTTTGAATTAGAGAACGTCTTGAGAGGAATAGAGGTTCTGTTCTCACTGGAATCATGGCCCCTCAAATTGTCTCTCTCTCTCTCTCTTTTTTTTTTTTTTGTAATTCTCTAACGCCTTCCAACATTATTTTTGTTTTAATTTCATGTAACTATTCTAATTTTTTTTTAACCAGGAGAGTCGGTCTGATGTAAGTTATTCCACCATAGCTAAAAATGGATGTCTTCAATGTCTATTACAATTAAAATCACACATACATCCTGACCCAGTATTTCTATTCCAGGACTTTCTCCTACAGATAAACTCATACATGCCCCAAAATATATGTGCAATAATGTTTATTCTAGCATTGTTTAAAATAGCAAAAGACATGAAAGCAGTCAGTAAGAAATAAAGTTCATCAATAAATAATAGGCTTAATATATTATCCACATAATGATGTTGTGGAAACTAATGACATGTATCTTGAGGTACTAAAATGGAAGATGGAGAAAAATGTGCATAGTATGTTCCAATTTAGGTAAAAGTGAACAAACATATGCATATGTATTTACAAATGCAAAAAAAAAAAGTTTGAAGAGATACATTAGAATAGAGAAGACTGGTTGCTCTGGAAAGGGCCAGAAAACCTGGGGGCTTGGAGTCAGAAGATTTTTCATTTTTTGATAGTGTTTCATTTATCTTTTATACATTACGTGGTTTAATGTTATAATAAACAATAGAAAAAAATATTAGCATGAGAAGTCTACATATTGGGAGTCAAAGAAGAAAATGGCAGCTCACAGGAGGCTTATTTAAGTATGACTATAAAGTTTACACTTTAAGGACAGATTGGATTTAGTTGAGTGAAAGAGAAATATGGGGCACCTGGGTGGCTGAGTCAGTTGAGCACATGTCCCACTCTTGGTTTCGGCTCAGGTCATGATCTCACAGTTCATGGGCTCAAGCTCCATGTGGAGCCTGTGTAGGGCTCCATGCTAGAAGGGTGGAGCCTGCTTGCAATTCTCTCTTATTTTTCTCTCTGCACCTCCCCTGCTCGTGTGCACATGTGCACTCTCTCTCAAAATAAATAAACTTTGAAAAAAAAAAAAAAAGGAGAGAGAAAGCATGCAGAGAAGGGAAGCAGAACATGGGGGAACAAAGGAGTATTCTAGGGAAACCATCAATAGTTCCAAACTCGTGAATGTCTCTCATTCCTGAGTTCTCTTTCTTTCGCCCCCATCAATTTAATTTCATTATTTATCTACATTGCTTTCTTCAGAGGCAACATTTAGTCTGATGGTAGGAAAGAGACATAAACATAGATATCATGTTGTGAGAAGCTACAGCCCCTGTGAGAGGAGTCCCCTCAGGGAAGTACAAAAAGCAACCATGTCCATTAGCTCGACTTAAATTAGTGACAACAAATTATCTAGAAACCAAATGTAAGTTGTTGCAAATATAGGCTCACTTCATTTTTATTTTGATCTTTACTATTTGTCTTGCACGTATTAGATACTTATTAATGCTTAATGGAAAAAGGAATTCAGGGATTTCTAAGCGTTTGGTACATATTGATAAACCGTAAAATAATCAAATGCAAATAACTGAAAGAAAATGTGAAATCCACAAAGTTAGTAAAGAAGCTAAGTGACAACATAGCATGGCAATCGTATTAACAATGTTCAGAAACAATGGTGATAAATTAAGAGCAGCAGAGGAGAAAATGATAATTTATTAGAGGAGTTCCATTCTTTCATAGGAGTGGGGTAATTTTCTTTCTTTCCATCATAACTGTGAGATAAAATACTCTAACAATTATATCTTTTAGTTATCATTGCCATACTAATCACATTTGCCCCCAAACTCTCATAAAATATAATACACAGTTGATAGAAAAGAATGAGAATAACTAAATTTTTCTTTAATGTTTAGAATGCATTTAGGATTTGACAATGATATGAGTTTAACAGTTGTTACTTGAAACCTTAAAATGTTTTTTTTGCTACTCTGCAAGTTAATTTCCTAATTGGTAAAAGAGAAGAGGTTAGATGAGATAATATCTGAAGGAAGTTCCTACTCACATTTCTGATTGAAAAGCATATGATCACAGAGACCATCAGCTACCTTAGGAGTATAGTACTTTTTACATAGCATACAATGTCCATTTTAATAAAAGAAACCTTCTGACAAGGCAGTTTCCTTTTGGTATAGCTTACTTTTTTATTCAGACCAAAAAGTTGGTAATGATTGTCATAGTTAATCTTAGACATTTGTATATCCATTAGAAGTTTAATTTTTCACAAAACTATATCATGAATGTTATCTGACTTTTTCCAAAATAAAATTAATATCGTAATCATCGTATGATGGCCTCAGGTTTTTTTCCTTCAGATGCTTGTATTTTGAGAAATAGTATAAATTCTTACCTCTAAGAGATAAGGTTCCATTTGATCCAGGGTTTTTCCAAGATGCTTATCTGGATCTAAACCTGCCAAGAAAAGTTACATTTTTTTTAAAGATAACTATCGGCTTGGAAGTTGAAAGACACATTCTCCTTCCCTTTGCCCCTCCTTGCCTAGGAAACCACTACATGTATATTTTAAATTGCTTTGATCCTAAAGCAGAATGTGTTTTGCTAGTATTTACATTCCTATTCCCCTTGGATAACTGGTTTTCTTGCTCTTGAAAGGTAAGTTTTATACTAAATCATTCCATTGCACCATATTAACATCCCGATGCACTGCTTCAATTCATTTTTAGCAATTGTAATTAAGATGGAAAAACAGGTTTCATTTCAAAGATAGGACATTTGTGTCCTCTGTTTTTTAATTATTATCATTATTTTATGGATGGACAACAGTGAGAATTTTCTTATGTGTCCGTATTTTATCGAAACCTTAAAATTCTTACATAAAGAATAAGAGTGGAAAATAGAAGAGTGGTAAGCCATTATTATGTCTATATAATTAATTCACTTCAAAGGAGGACAGAGATACGAATGCAAACAGTTATATTACCAAATTAAATGACATTTCATTTCAATGACCACTTGTGCAATAATGTATTTTCTAAGCAAAGACACAGACAACTCTGAAAAATTGTTATTGTACCAACAGCATGTGCACCCTCTTAGAGATGTTCAGCTGATATAGTAGAGTTTATGTAGATGATGAGGTATAGGCAGATGAATATGGGAAATAAACTCATCCCACAAAAACTAACTTGCCAGTGAAGAAAAAGTCACATGCCACAAGTCTGCTATAAAATGAAATAATTCATTTTAGATATTACATTCATAATACAGTTAGATATTTACATCCATAATACATGCATTGGCCTAGCCTCATTTAAATAAGTTATTTTTATTTCTTAGGGGATTAAACTAGTTAGCTTATTAATTACACAAACTGATTAATAATTTTCTGCTTCTACTTGAATGCCTTTTTTGGTAATATGCTATTTCTTATTATCACATATTAGAAGAAGGGAAGTCAGGTAAAGATTGAGGATTCTTCTGCCACTGAGTAGTTTTAGGTGAAACTTGAGGCAAAAAAACTCAGACCAGTAGCAATACGCAGACTTTCTGAGTCAATTCCCTTCACAGCAATCTTATTATCATGGTGTATTCAGTAAAATTAAAATTTCAAGGAGATGTGTGAACACACAGATACACCAATCACTGATTCTGTCTGGTTCCTCCACTTGTACCACCTCTTAGCAAATCAGTATTTAGAAAGAACAAGTAAAGGAAATGCTTTGAAAGAAACACCCCTAAAATCGCTACCCACATTTAACAAGCATTAACATCACGTCATATTTCCTCCACAACATTTTTTTTAAAGAAATAAACACCACCAAAACAATAGAATGGCACAGTATATCTACTCTTAATCTATATCCCCTATTCCTTCTATATAATAACTACTCTTCTGAAGTTGGTGAGTTACTAATTACTCTTTTACAATTTTACTATAAATGCATATATCCAAACAATATTTATTATTGTTCGTGTATATTAAATTTTTACATAAATGATGTAATCTCTAACTTGATTTTTTTCATTTCATACTGTTAAAGAGATATATGGATTACCATGGCTCTGGTCCATTCATTATCACTACTTCTATCAAAATGGTATTCTATTCCATTATGGTATGGATATACCAGAATTTAATTATACACCTCTGATAGATGAGTACTTGGGCACAAAGTTATTTCTAATTTGTTTTGCCATAAGTACTTTTTATGCTGCAATGAATATGCTTTTATGTGAAATTACTATGATAGAGGAGAATATACATATAATTATATATATTATTGTATATGCGTGTGTGTGTGTGTGTGTGTGTGTGTGTGTGTAATCTTCAGGTCTATTAGATATTGCCAAATTACTCTTTAAAAAGTATTACCAATTTGTACTTCCACTTTCAGGTACACAGAATTCATATTTCATATAATATGAAAATAATTTAGTGGTGTCAGAATTTTAAATTTCTGCTAATCTGATATATATACATATATATAATATACATTTAATATACATACATATACTTTATATATATAAAATATACATATAATTGTTTTAGATACTTGTTTTAGTTTTAATTTTCTGATTACTATTAAAAGTAAGCACCATATCAGATAGCTTCTCAGGCAAATTCTACGAAATATGTAAGAAAGAGTTAACACCACTCTTCTCAAACTACTCCAAAAAATAAAAGAGGAAGGAACATTTCCAAATTCATTCTATAAGGCTCACATTGCCCTAATATAAAAACCAAATAAAGAAACTACAAAAAAGAAAACTATAGGCCAATATCTCTGATGAACACAGACAAAAATTCACAGCAAAATATTAGCAAACTGAATCCAACAATACATTAAAAAAACATTCACCATGATCAAGTGGGATTTATTCCAGGGATACAAGGGTGGTTCAATATTTGCAAATCAATCAACATGATACATGAAATTAATAAGAGAAACAGTAACAGCTATATGATCATCTCAAAAGATGAAGAAAAAGTATTTGACAAAGTACAAGAATCATTTTTGGTAAAAACTCTCAACAAAGTAGGTTTAGAGGACACATAACATAACAAAGGCCATATATGAAAAGCCCGCAGCTAACATTATTCTCAATGGTAAAAAACAGCCCTTTTCCTCTAATGTTAGGACTAAGACAACAATATTCACTATCCTCCCTTTTATTCAGCATAGTACTAGAAGTCCTAGACACAGCAATCAGGCAAGAAAAAGAAATAAAAGACATCCAGATTGGTAAAGAAGAAGTAAAATTTTCACTATTTGCAGATGACATGATATTTTATATAGAAAATTCTACAGACTTCACCAAGAACCTGATAAAACTGATAAATGGATTTAGTAAAGGATACACAATTCATGTACAAATAATCTGCTGCACTCCTATGTACTAATAATAATGTAGGAGAAAAATTAAGAAAATAATCCCATTTACAATAGCACCAAAAAGAATAAAATACCTAGGAATAAGCTTAACAAAGAAAGTGAAAGACCTAATTCCAAAAAAATATAAATCAATGATAAAATAAATTGAACATGACCAAAAAAAAAAAAAAAAAAAAAAGATATTCCATTTTGGAATTGGAAGAAATAATACTGTTAAAACATACACACTTGCTGAAGCAATTTACAGATTTAATACAATCCCTATCAAAATACCAATAACATTCTTCACAAAACAAGAACAGATAATCCTAAAATTTGTATGGAACCACAAAAGTCTCCTAATAACCAAAGTAATCTCAAGAAAGAAGAACACAGCTGGAGGTATTACAATCCCAGATTTCAAGATATACTGCAAAGCTCTAATGATCAAAACAGTTTGGTACTCGTATAAAAACAGACACATAGATCAATGGAGCAAAATGGAGAGCCTGGAAATAAACCCACCCATTCATGGTCAATTAATCTATGACAAAGGGGGCAAGCATACACCTTAGGGGAAAAGACAGTCTCCAACAAATGTGGTGGGAAAACTGATCAGCTACATGCAAAATAATGAAACTGGACCATTTCTTAAAAATAAAATGGATTAAAGACCTATATGTGAGACCCAAAATCATAAAATTCCTAGAAGAAAACAGGTAGTAATTTTTTTGACATCACCAATAGAAACACTTTTCTAGATATGTCTCCTCTGGTGAAGAAAACAAGAGCAAAATCAAACTATTGAGACAACACCAAAATAAAAAGCTTTTTGCACAGTGAAGGAAACCATCAACAAAACAAAAACAAAAAGGCAACCTACTGAATGGGAAAAGATACTTGCAAATAATATAACCAGTAAGGGGTTAATATATAAGATACATAAACAACTTATACAACACCAAAACCACCCACAAATAATCTGATTTAAAAATGGGTGACAACCTGGGACACCTGGGTGGCTTAGTTGGCTCAACATCTGACTCTTGATTTCAGCTCAGGTCATCATCTCACAATTCATGAGATCAAGCCCCGTGTCAGGCTCTGCAGTTTGCAAAGCCTGCTTGGGATTCTCTCTCTCTCTCACTCTCTCACTGCCCCTCCCCTGCTCACGTGCCTGCACACGTGCACTCTCTCTCTCAAAAGAAACAAACATTTTTAAAAACTGGGCAAATACCTGATTAGACAATTTTTTTTTCAAAGAAGACATACAGATGGCCAACAGTCACATTAAAAGATGCTCAATATCACTTGTCATCAGGGAAATGCAAACCAAAACCACAAGAAGGTATCAATTTATACCTGTTGGAATGGCTAAAACAAAAAACATAAGAAATAAACGTTTGTGGGCATGTGGAGAAAAAGAAACATGTGCACTGTTGGTGGGAATGCAAATTGGTACAGATACTATGGAACAAAAGAAAGGTTTTTCAAAAAATTATGCTTTATGTATTTGATTTGTTGTGTTGTTGTGTTGTGTTGTTATGTGCATACACATTCATAATCTCTAAAATTTCTTTTTTTAAATGTTTCTTAAAAATTTATTTCTGAGAGAGAGAGACAGTGTGAGCAGGGGAGGGTCTGAGAGAGAGGGAGAGACAGAATCAGAAGACAGGCTCCAGGCTCTAAGCTAGCTGTCATCACAGAGCCTGATGAGGGGCTCGAACCCACAAACTGTGAGATCATGACCTGAGCTGAAGTCGGACGCTTAATTGACTGAGCCACCCAGGTGCCCCTAAAACTTCTTGATAAGGTTATTTCTTTATCTACAAGTAACAACCTATTCATCTCCATATGTGGCTTTTATCTTATATTCTATTTACCAACATCACAACACAAGCTTTATTTTATTAATATTTTATTGGCATATGTTTTTCTACCATTTATTCTCAAATTTTCTGTGCTTTTGTTTTACATGCCACTTATAAACTACATATAATTGGATTTTTAAATTTTATCTTATCTTATAAATACAACTCTAAAGAGTGCAGTTTAAATATCTTAAATCCTTAACATTTT